CCAGGAGTGGGGCTGAGCTGTGCTAGCAATGTCTGATGTCTATTAGTAGTTGGTCACTGATGACCCATCTCTAGCCACCATTGGAATTGGGAATCTCTGAATTGTGTTTACCCGAGACCGTATTAGTTATTCTTAACCCTGCCTCTACAGATAATCTAAGTTGTAGGTACATGAAGGGGTGACCACATAATTTTTTGTGTTTGTTCTAATGTAGATAAGCATTGGAATCAGACTGCTCTGTATTCTTATCTTCACCCACTATTTCCTAGTTTCCCAAATGTCAGTTTCCTCTTCTCTTAAGTGGGGATAGTAACAGTACCTGTCTCAGTCACTGGGAAGAATTAAATGAGCTCACATGCATGAAGCTCTTAGCATAGTTCTTGGCACTTGATAAATAGTTATGGGACCTCTCTCTGGACTTGAATCACTTTTGTGGCACTGTAGACTGGGGAGAGGAGAGGCTTTGCAGAAAGTATAATTTATAAGCTATGTCTTAGAGGATAAGGAGTTAGCATCCCAGTGGACAAAGAAGGGGGAAGGAATCCCGGCAGCAGTATGCTTAAGAGCTATGAGAGAGCAAAGTTTATTTGTGGAAATTGCATATTGTTTACTGTGAATGAAGGGTGAGCTAAAAGTGGGGAGGTGGGAGGAGGTGAGGCAGGAAAGATGACCAAGAACAGATCACAGAGAACCATATAGAACTCAATAAGGAGTTTAAACTTGATCCTCCATCGTTCCCCCCACCCACATAATCTGGTTCCTCTGTTAAGCAGTCACATAAACGTCTTTAAGAGCAGCAACAGTGAAAAGGGGGAAGAGGGCAGCGAATTGGCCTCAAATGAACTGGCATGTCTTTAAAGCTAATACTCCTCCTCGAGAATACTATATTAATTAAACATGTGCCTTGCAAGGTTCATTATTGTTTTACTTGTGTTCCCTGTTGGTTGTCTCATTCATTAATCTGCTGATTAGTAACCCTGAACTCTTGTATCTCCCCACCCCCTTTTTTGGCATTCCCTTTTTAATATACTGTGCTGTTCCCCCTGGGACGTCAACTCCAGGACCCGTCCCTGGCCTGCTCGTGTTTGTTTTCTTTGCCCCTTGTGCCTGCCTCTGCTATAACATTTGTAGTATGTGTTAAGTAATCCTTAAGGTAACATTTTTATTATGTCATAAAAAGTGCATGGCAAATATATTATAACTCATGGACTTTGTTTAAAAATGAACGGATAATTTATTGAGTGTGTTACATGAGCCTTTCTCCCCTCCCCATTTCAGCTGAGACTTGCTGCTCATTTAGCCTAGCCTCCTATTGAGTGCTCCCACCCTGTGACATGCTGGGAAAGCAGACCCATGGTTGGCTAGAAATGACATCATAGTTTATGTACTCAATAAAAATTTAATTAAGTCATTACAGGAATTGCAGTCATCATTTAACCCTCTGATTTCTTCTGTTTAGTTTATTATTAAACATTCAGTAATACCAGTCACCAAATCTTGATGGCTTATAAAATACCTGCATGAATTTTAATAGCTTAAATAAATGGGAAAATATGAGTAACTGATATAAAAGGAACCTTTTCCTTGTGGTGGTGCTGTATGTATGGCTTTTTATGAAAAGCAAAGCATTATGGAAAGGATAAGAGTTGACTAAGAGAACAGTCCAAAACTGTCCGGGAGGAGTTTCTCATTCGGTTTGTCCATCCGTGTATTCATCATGGGCAGGGCACTCCATATGGAATCATCTGGCAGCGGGGACACAGAACCTGCAGGCCAACAAACAAAGCTTAAGTGAGGGAATAAAATCCCAACAGAGGTTCGCCAGAGGGAATATCCAGCTCCCCTTGGCTGCTGGGCTGGCTAGAAGGGCCCAGTAGGATGAGTGCAGTAGTTCAGGAAGCTGTTCTCACTCACCCTCACCTGTTGCCTGCAGATCATGTGTCTGCACTGATCAAGCTTCCACCCTCTTCCAGGAAGGGCCTTTTTCAGCCTGGGTGATGATATCTGAAAGCCATTCCTAGCAGTGGCTGCTTGCCATCTCTCAGCTAGAGAGGAGAGGGAGAGGCAGCTTACAGGTCACTGGAGTTAGGCTATAGGACCAGAGATAGTGGAGCCTTGCTCATAGGGACTTCTTGGCCGGCTCTCCATTCTTCCTGGGTCATAGCTAGCCAGAATGCAGGTGCATCCCAAGAGGAGAAAGTGTGTTTATATGTAACTGGACCTTGCTGTAAACGGAGGTGTGCAGATTAATGTGTTGCTGATCTCTGGAAATGCCCTACATATGGTGAAGCAGATAAAGCACTTGTCTAGAAGCCAGGTTCCAATCCTGGCTCTGCTTTCTTTGTGACCTCAGATAAGTCCCTACCCCTTTTTGGGTCTCAGTTCACCATTTCCTCAGAGGGATTGAGCTAGGTGATCTTTGAAGACCCTTCCAGCTCTAAAGCTTACTAGGTAGATGCAACACATAAACTAGCTCTGCTGAGCAGGTTCAGTGCATGTTTTTCTCTGAAAGATGCTCTTGCCTTTGTGTGATGTCTCTGACATCTGTTTGTGGCTCTGATTCTTCTTGCATGATGAGGAGAATAGCGTGTATGGGAATAGGGACAGCCCCAGAATGGCTCTCAGCGGGGCTGGGCTGTAGTCCCATCGTGGCACTTCAGAAGGAATGAACTCTAGCTCTGGCTTGTTTCTTGACTCTGCCTTTCACCTCAGCCCATTCTGGAAGATGGTGCATTAAGAAGTTGGGCAGTACATATTTTTGAAATTTCAGAAACATGCAAGGTATTCAAGCAGCAAAAAAGGGGAAATAAACAAAAGGGTGTCATTGGACAGAGCACACTCTGCGTGGCACTCAGGCCTCTGTAAGGATTCAGTCATCAGTGTGCCAGCCAGTCTCAAGTCCTGCTCTGGGCCAGGCCCTGGATTAGGTGTCTGTCGGGGGTGCCAAGATTAATCAAACAGAGTTCCTTATGATCTTTGAGTAGCTCACAGACTAGTGGGAGAGATGGGTACATATGCAGTTCTCAACCGTGTTGTGCTTCCAGGAGGAGGAGTATGGACGGAGCTCTAGGAACATAGCGGCTGGAGGTCTGATTTGGCGTGGGTTGAAGGTAGTGGGGAAGGGTCATGGATTGTACCACCAGCTGCATCCAGTCTCACATTTTCCAGTCTTGAGCTGGGCCATTCTCTCTTCCTTTTTGAAAATTATCCCTGACTATTGGGACTGGTTTTAGTTTTCTATAAACAAACCAGAAGGTATTACTCATAAGTCATTGCATTTGCAGAGCACTTTACAGCTTACTGAGGCTTTCAGCATACATTGTTGAATTAATGAATGAATACATGCTAATTCATTTGCTGTTTAAACCAGCACTGTGTATAGGGCATTTGAAAGGCAAGGAAATAGAGAGGTTATTTGACTTACCCAATATCACATCTGCTGTATACAGCAGAATTAGAACTTGAACCCAGGTTGTCTGACCGAACCCAGGTCCTTTCACTACTCCTTTCTGCTCTTCTTCAGAGACCAGTTATGAGCCACAGGATTAAATCACTCAGTCTTTGATTTATGATCCAAAGTAAAATCATCCTTCCAGAGGCAGAAACCTGATGGAACGTAAGGCACGTGGACTTTGGACTAAGACTGACCTGGATGCTAGTCTCAGCTTTATCACTAATTTGCTATGGAACCTAGGGCCAGTCACTTCACCTGCTTGGGGCTCAGTTTTCTGTGTCCATAAAAATGTGACTCTAGCCTACCTACCCTCTGAGTTCCAGTGACGGTTAAAGGAGATGGTATCCATAAAAGCATGTGGCCCATTCTAGGTCCTCAGTAAATGGAGGAGATGACAGTGGGCATGGTTATGGTCAGGGTTGTTAAGCACAAATCTTATTCTCCATGTGAAGTTCCAAATAACTTGGTTGTTTCTAAAACCTGTCAGTTTAAATATCCAGTGAGTCCTTACTTAACGTACTGCACATTACACCAGGCTTTCTGCTGGTATCTCAGGAATGAAACATGGACCGGGCTTTCAAGCATATTCCTAGAAGTCTGGAGGTCAGAGTTTTACCCTACTGGAGACATTCAGTGAACTGCAGTCTGGACTCTGAAGGCCCACCTGGGTGTTCTCTGAGAGAAGTTCTACCTGGGTGTCCATGGTCTCCCTGGAATTGTATTTCAAAACAGTCTCTTAAGATTAACAGTCTTACTACTTCAGCCTGGCTTATTCTGTCCTCCTCTTCACAGCCTCGGGGGCTTTGGGGGCTCTCCTTTCTCCTCAGCATCTCACTCAGGGTCCTGCCTCTCTCCCTCCTCTTCGCACCTCTGACAACTTCCTTCTGTCTTTTACCACCACAAGCTCCTTTGAGTACCCCTTAGACATTTCCTAACCTGGTCCCAACATACCTTTCCAGTGTTCTTGCCCATTCACCTTCCCTGGGACTCCCCAAACATTTTCTTTCCTGCCTCTGCACCTTGGCACACCTTGTTCCCTTTGTCTAGAATGTCCTCTCTCCTCCAAGGTCCACCTAAGTGTTACCTCCTGCAGAACTCTTCACCTGCTCCCAGAGCAGAGATCATTTGTACTAAAATTCATTTCTTGCTCACCACTTTTGGGATAGAATTTGAGGCAACATATTGCAGTTTAATTATTTTTTTACATGTTTGTTTTTCCATACTAGACTGTGTGCTTCTCCAGCTAAGAAACCATTTCTTACATTTTGTGTTCATAGGGTCTAGCACAAAGCCGGACATGTACTTGGGGCTTGGCTCATTAAACTGAGTTACTGCTTTGTGTAATTTGGAATCAAAACCTGAAAGAAGCTGTCAAATTGGGGAGAATCCTGGCAGATCAGGGAAATGGGGATGGACTAGCAGTTCGACCTGTTAGGGGCCTTCTCTCTTTGTTTTACTAAGAGTCTGTGATAGTTAAGAGGCAAAAATTATATTTTTTGTTTTCCCCTTTTTTCATACTTTTGTTTTTGTCATTTTGTTTCTGTAGGTTAATTCTTATATTCTGAAGAAGAACATGATCCTTATGACAAATAATTTCTATGCAGCAATCTTGGGATATGATGAGGTAAGATCATTTGCCAAGCCTTAAGCAGAACATTGGCTCCCCCCAACAGACTTTTTTTTTAATTTTAATTTTAATTAGTGAACACACAGTGCAGTATTGGTTTCTGGAGTAGAATTCAGGGATTCATCACTTACATAGAAAGACTTTTGATGAGAAACTCTGAGGGAACCTTCAGGGGACATTGTTACTACCTACCATTATGGCTTAGAATTTCCTCATCTTCATTGACTTGGCAACAGAAATGACTATGCCCAGCAGTTTGCCTAGTGCTTGGGAAAGAGAGCACGATATAATATGGTCAAATCATTCAACTAGTAGCATTTATTGAGTCCTTATGAGGTGCTGGATGTAGGGACAAAGGCAGATCAGTCACTGTTTTAGTCTCCAGAGATAGGAAGACATACACATATAAACAGCACGGGCTGCCAGACAAATCGCACACTTTTGTGGCTTTCATTATAAAAGCAATACATACTCATTTCAAAAACTCATAAAACTGCACACAAGTGGTTGAAGTAAAAAATAGAAGGCCCCTTTCCTGTCCTGCCCAACTCCCTGTCCCAGAGGAAAACTTTGTTAATAGTTTATTGGGTGTCCTTCCAGACGTTATGTTTGCATACACAGGCACCTATGTATTTTCTTTACACAATGGAAGTTACACTCCATACACTATTCTGCACCTTGCCTTTTTTGCTGAACAATATATCTTAGGCCTCCTTATACATCAGAACATTTAGATCTCATTTTTGTCATTGTAAAATATACATAACATCAAATTTACCTTTTTTTTTTTAAAGATTTTATTTATTTATTTGAAAGAGAGAGAATGAGAGAGAGCACATGAGAGGGGGGAGGGTCAGAGGGAGAAGCAGACTCCCTGCTGAGCAGGGAGCCCGTCGCGGGACTCGATCCAGGAACTCCAGGACCATGACCTGAGCCGAAGGCAGTCGCTTAACCAACTGAGCCACCTAGGCGCCCTCAAATTTACCATTTTTAAGTGTACATTTTAGTCGTCTTAAGTACATTCACATTGTTGAGCAATTGTCCCCACCATCCACCTCCAGAATTTTTTCCATCTTCCCAAGCTGAAGCTCTGTACCCATTAAACCCTTACTCTTCCCTCAGCCTCTTCTCAGCCCCTGGAAACCACCACCTTCTCCTTTCTGTCTCTGTGAATTTGAATACTGAGTACCCCCTTGTAAGTGGAATCATACGGGTTTTATTCTTTGTGACTAGCTTATTTCACTTAGCATAATATCCTCAGCGTTCACCCATGTAGTAGCATCCGTCTCGTCTTTTTCTCCCCACTGTTATTATGGAAATTTCAGACACATCAAAAAGGTAAAAGAATGGTGTAATGAACATCTGTATGCACACTACCAGGGTTCCTCATACCTCATCTTTTTAAAAAACACGTGCATTTATGCTCATTTTGTGGTGACCTCCAGATTTAATGCAAGCACCACCCTTTCTGGGAAACAGGCCTGGAAATTTCCTGGGCTCAGTTCCTTCCACCTACCCTGGACTCCACAGCACTCGCTACACTAGTGTTAACTGTCACCCCGGCTGGGTGGGGACTCCTTCTGGGTGGTGGCAGTGTCTACCGTGTTTCCATTTCTCTTGCCTCGTGTGGTACCTGGCATGTGGTGAGGAATGAGGAAGGGAGGAAAGGCATAAAGGATAAAAGTAAGAAACTGGAGTTCAAGCTGGAGGAAGTGTTATCAGTCTGAAGATAATAATTAAAGCCAGGAGATAAGCTTACAAAAATAGGACTAGTTAAAATTGAGAGTTCCTGATTCTCAGTCCACCAGATATTTGCAGAAAACAGGAAGGTTTATCAGAGAGCAATTTAGATTGCATACCACACACGTCATTGATTTAACATGAGCTTTGTGGGAGTGGGACGGGAGTTGAGAAACACTGCTTACATCTACACATTTAATTGTTAAATTAGATACATTCTGACTGCAGAAGCCTTAGAGTATATGGAAAAATGAGGCTTAGAATTGAAGAAATAGCATTCTCTATTAGCTAGTATTTCTTTGAGGACTTTATTGCAGCTGGCTTGGCTGATTCCTTTCACCAGTATTAATAAAGATGTTCTGAATTGTGTCTCTTTTCTGTCCCTCCTGGCAGAGCCGTCTTATAAACATGCCTGAACACAAGAGTCACCTGAGAGCTCTTCAAATCTAATTCTTGAGCACCTCTCTAAAGATTCCAGGTCAATAGGAGTGGGGCCTGGTATTTAGCAAGCACCTCAGGTGACTCTTTAGAGTGGGAAAGTTTGGGAAATATACTAATTACCTGGGACGCTTTTTTAGAAATACCATTGTTTGGGCCCTGTCTCCCAAAAGTTCTAATTTAACTGCTATAGGTGGGCATCTTTTGTAAAAGTTCCTCGGGTAATTTTAATGTGCATGCAGATCACGTAGGTAAAATTCAGATTCTGACTCAGCAAGTCAGCGGGGAGGCCTGAGATTCTGCATGGCGAACAAGCTGCAGGTGACGCGGTGTAGCCATTCTGCAGACCACACTGGGAGTCATGGATTCTAGAGCTGTGCTGTCCAAGACTAGCCACGTGCGGCTCTCTTTTTTGTTGTTTTGAGTAGGCCCCACATGCAGCGTGGAGCCCAGCTCGGGGCTTGAACTCATGATCCTGAGATCGAGACCTGAGCTGAGATCAAGAGTTGGATGCTTAACCGACTGAACCACCCAGGTGCCCCCACATGTGGCTATTTTGATTTAAATTCCTTAAATAAAATTGAAAATTGAGTCGCACTGGTTACATTTCAGGTGCTCAATAGCTTTACGTGGCTTGTGGCTGCTGGCCTGGACCATGTGGTTATAGAGTGTCTCCGTCATCACAGAAAGTTCAGTTGGACAGTGCCGTTCTGCAGCACCCTTTTCCTAGAATGTTGCTTGGGTTGTGCCCCTACCCTGGCCACATTGAAACCTTCCTGTTTTCTGCTACATTAAGTCCATATTCCTCCATGGAACTTCCAGGTCTTCTGTCAACTGTCCCCCTTGTGACATGTCTTATCCACTGTTATCTCCTATTGCATTTGAGTGTGTAACCTTCTTTCCAAGTGAGGCCATTTGCCTCACTGCCCCACAGACATGCTGTGCCTGCTGGAAGGTCTCCTGGACAACTAGGTTTGGAGGGCAGTGGCCAAGTCTCAGCTTTGAGCGTGGTACCTTGTAGGCACTCTCTCTGTAAATGTTCCGTGAACCAATGTATTCTGTCTTGCTTAGATGTAGCTCTCCAAATATTCTCCACTCTTAAAGGCCCCCTTCTCCACAAAGCTTTCCCTGACCTCTCTAGATCTGTGTTTGTTTACTCTGAATTTCAGCCTCATCCATTCATCCATCTATCCGTCCATTTAACAGTATAAGGTGCCTGCCATATGGGATGCACTGGGAATATATTGGTGAATAAAACAAATATGGTGTGGTTCTTTCCCACTGGAGCTTACCTTCCAATGGGAGACAGGCAGTAAACAGGTAAACAAGCAAATAAATATCTAGTTACAAATAGAGGGTCATAGAAGCTAAGACCAAAGAATGAGGAGTCACCCATGTACATAGTCTACCTTGGAGTCTCCCTATACAGATTGGCAGTTGTTCACTCTCTAGGATTTGATCCTGTGCTGCTGTTTGTTGGGCACTAGCTTGTCTCTTCAACTGGATTGCAAGCTGCCTGTGAGCTGAGACCATTTTGCTGTGATTCTGTGTTCTCAGCATCATGCTAAGCACATAGTGGTGTCACAAACCAGTCTTTTCTGAGTGAGACTGCCACTCCAAACCCTTAACCATAACCTGGACCCTCAAGGCACAGGCTTTCTCTCAATTACTCTTCACCTGGGTGTCTTATTCCTGAAGGATGCTTTTTTGTGTCGTGAGGGAAAACAAGCAGGCCCCCTAGTAGATTGTGGGAACATTGCTATGCAAACTAATATTTGGCCGCCAAGCACCCCTTTTCCTTTCCTGATTTCTCTCTCAGACCAGTCTCCCATATGTTTTCACTGACTTACTAGCAGTTTGGTAGAAAAAAGGGTGAAGTTGGGCTTATTGATTTGTTCAGCCGTTTTTATTGCACCCCCCACTCTATGCCAGGTACTGTGTCCTAACTAGAGCTAGTCAGGAACCACCCCTTGACCTCACCAGTGCATTCTGGTCCTGAGTCTACCACCAATTAGCTAGATAACCTCTAAGCCTTTGTGTACTTATCTTTCAAATGGGGATAATCATATCTGTTCTTCTTGGCATATGTAGTCATTAGGAGCCAGGTGTGTGAAGGAACTGACAGCCTGGAACAGTCAGGTGCTATCACTGTTGATCGGAGTCCTGAGTCACCCTTTTCTTTCCGACTGATGATGGACTTGCCCCTTCCCAGGCATCTCCCCCATTGCCAGGGGTACCTGTTTGCAGCAGACCGTGGCTCCCAGGGCTTTTGCTGTCCTGTGCTCTGTGCTCATTCTCTAGGTCCTCATGACACCCGCTCCCAGGCTCTTCTTTCGCACATAACACATGTGGGTCTCTGCCAGCAGCTCTCCGGCTTGTGCCCGGGGCACTTTAGACACAAGCAGGCTGTTGTGTTAGCAAATAGCTTGGAGAACGGTGATGTGCCTGAGCTTGTTCTTGGGCCCTGTCCCCATCTGCCAGAAGAAGCTGGTTTTCCTGACTCAGCCATTGTGCCAACACAGTCTCTTAAGCTGGGGAATTATAGGGATGTTGAGCAGGGGGCATTTGGAACAGGTTGACTGTTTTTCCACCAAACTGTCAGCACCCCATCCTGGACTTGGCCCTTCGTGGCAGCAGGCCTGACGTCGGACCTCATATGCCGCCATGTCCCAGAGGCCAACACGCAGTATCACATTGAAGACATGATCTGGGGTCTTCGTGTAATGCTTTGCCACTTCCAGAGCCTGTCATGGCCATGGTCTCTGAATTCTCACAACAGTGCTGTGGGCGGGTCTTGCTGTGTGTGTTTGGCTCATGAGGAACTGAGGCTCAGGAAGGGCTGGTGATTTTCCAAGGGCCACACGGCCGTCAAGTGACAGAGCTGCCATTTGAACCTAGGTGGTCCGATCCCTAGATCTCACTGTAGTTTCAGCTATGGCCCCAGCTGCCTGCCAAAGCGAGCTCCTGGTCCTTGTATCTGACATACTGCACGTAACAGAATGCCTTTCCATGATCTTTTATAATGCAACTGTGCGTAGGGCAAGCACTTTCATCTCTGTTTCATAGATGAGTGGTGAATTGTCCGCCATCTCTGAGCTTGGTAGTGGCAGAGCCAGGATTTGATCTGGCCTTCTGACTTGTAAGTCCCAGTTGGTGCTTTGTTTGGTTCCATATTAGCTTGGCACCTGGACAGAGCAGCTTTTTGGGGCCTTTCCACTCAGTCACCCTCACCCCACGAAGCAGGACCATCCCCTCTCCTTCCCTTAGAGGTCCAAGCTAGAAAATGGCTCTAGTCCATGGCCCAGGTGCTGATTAGTCTCTATGATATTTGGGCTTCTCAACAGAGCCCTCCTTCGTGCTGCAAAGGACAATATTAGACACACGCACACAGGCTCTGAGCATTCCCTCTGGCCCATGGCAGCCCTGCTGAACGGCCTGTTCCTGTACTTGCGGCAGGGCCAGCCGTGGCCAACCCAGAGATGGGTGACAGTGAGGCCAAGGTGCCTGGTTTCCTTTCCCAGAGAGACAGCTGCCTTGCAGATGTGTGCCCTTGGACCAGGAGAGAAGGTGCAGTCTATGCCCACCTCTATTCCTGGGAAAAAAATACCCACCCACAACACTCTGTGCCCATTCCTTGCGGGCAGTGGTAGGAGCACTGGGCCAACCTCTTGCTGGCCTCACAGGTATTGCTGGGTTGAGTACAGTGCAGGAGAGTAGCGAGAGCTGTGGCCTGGGAGGGCAGCCAGACATGAACCCGATCTCTGCATTAATCTTAGCCAGTCACTCGGCCCCTCTGGCTCCCGTGTCCTTCCTGTGCATAAAATGAAAGGGTTGGACCAGATGCTCTCTGAAGACCCCATCTGGCTCTACCATGTAGCTGCCCCGTTTCTTTCTTGTGGTGTCTATAAGGTCTTTTCCAGTCCGATTCTGTGGTTGTCAGCATGTTCACAATATCCCCAGCTTTTGTACGTATGGCTCTGCCATACTCCCTGGAAGACCAATTGTACTCTGTGTTCCAGGGGATCCTTTCAGATGACCGTGGGCTGGCTGCTGCCCTCTGGAGAACCTTCTTTAACCAAAAATGTGAAGACCCTCGGCAGCTTGAATTGTTGGTGGAGTATGTGAGGAAACAGGTGAGCAACCCCAGCCCTCCCCTCCAGAGGCTCACGGGAAGCAGGTCTTTCCTGAGGTCTGGAGGTGCTGGACTTTAGAGGATTGTGAGAGGTTGAGTTGCCAGAGGCCAGTCTGAGGGAATTCTGACCACATCCTGTCGGCAGCAGGTGCTGATGAACACCTTCTGTGTGCCCAGCCATGAGCTAGGCTGGGAGTGGGGAATGGGATGGAAGAAGAAGCACTGAGTAGTCTGCTCTCAAAAACTTTTAGGCATTCATTCACTACATACTTGATTACCTGTTATGTGCCTAGTGCCGTGTGAGACCATCGGCACACACAGTCCTGTAGGATATGGGAATGTGGTGCTGTGTGGTCGCCCACTGTAGCCCCCTCTGTCCCACTTTGAAGCTCCAAGATTCATGCTTCCTGCTCCTGATTTCTAGCAGGACTGGGCTCCAGGCAGCATTCCACGGGTGTCCCTCCAGCCTCTCCCCACTGAGTGCCAGCCACAATCAAGTAGCGTCCTCCTGCTTCCTTCTCCGCCCCCTCGTCCCCCAGGGCTCCCTGACACCAGAATTTCTAAGAGAAAACTCCAGAGTGGAGACTCTTAACTATATCGTTTTCCTTGAAACCATGGCAACTTCACTCCTTGATCTCTCTGCCCCCCGATCCTGTATTGATAGGAAAACCATATTTTATAGATGAGGGAGCTGAGTGGCAGAGAAGAGGAACATAGAGGCTTTTCCAGGGTCTCCCAGTGAGTCAGCCTGCACAGCTGGCCTACAACCCAAGCTGGTGATTCATGTAGCCACTAGAGAGGCCTTAGCTGCTCCAGACAGCTCATCAGCTCAGGCTGTCCCATGAGTCACACCTTTGCTTCATGGGCCTGGCCCTGGAGCTGAAGGGGCCTCACCCCACGGTTATTCTCTTACTCACCTGTGTCCATGGCCTTCAGGCCTTCAATAGCCAGGCAGGGGAAGGCCAGGCCCTGGCTCTTGGGGAGAAGACAGGGCCAGCAGGAGCAGCTTGCTGATTGCTGGCAAAACCACACAGTGGGGCTTTTCAGACCCAGAGGGTAGAGAACCCCAGAAGCCAGGACTTCTGTTTGACCATTCTTCAAATCTGCCAGAGCTGGGAGAAGGTACTGTGGCCAGAGGGCTCCACCCACAGAGAACTCTTGAGACTCACACTGCTGACTGGACTCACCGTCAGACACAAGTGGCAGTTGGCAAAGCAAATGCTGTGTTTTTTGAGAGACTAGCCTAACTTTTCCATCTGCTGTGGTGGGCTTGTGCCAGGGGCCACAACAAGGACACAGCTGGGACTTCTCCGAGGGCCCTAAAAGAAGGGACTGCACACCATTGCCCCTAGAAGAAATCCCATATTGTCCAGTGAGAAGCAGGCAATAGGAAAACAGTGATGGGGCTCTTAGGGAAGTAGGGAGCTTTGATGGGACCCGGGCCTGTCAGCAAAACTGAATATCTGCTGTGCCAGGCACTCTGGTGAGAAAACAGAGATTCACAGGACCCACACCTGCCCTCCAGCCAGCTCATGGTTTGGTGAGGAAGCCAGTCAGGCACAAGGCTAACCCTGGAATAAGTCAGTCTGTGATGATACAGGTAGGAACAAAGTGCTGTGGAAGGCCAAAGAAAGGCGAGACTGTGAATGAGCAGATCAGGAAAGACCAGGAAGCCGGGCCCTCAACAGACTAGCCCTGCACCATGATCCTAGTTGGTCTGGTGGGTAGCCCAAGAGCCAATCCGAGGTTGTGTTGAGATTTTCAATGCAGAAGATGGGCAGACAGGTGGCATTAGGCACAGAGATGGAGTTGTTGGAAAGAGGAGTGTGTTTTAGGCAAGGTAATGGGTCAGTCACTCTCCTTGAACTAAAAGACAGCAGGACGTGTGGAAACCTAGACCTGACATATATGTGAGAGATGGGTTGAGTTCAAGGGTCAGCAGCCTGAAGATGAAACAACAGGAGTGAAGGGATTCTTGGAAGAGGGAGACGGTCCAAGGACTAAGATGAGGCTTCCAGACTCCTGCCCCCTTCCTCCCAAATGCCTTCTTACCCCACAGTGGAGCTTCATCTCTCTGAATCCAGAGCTCACTCCTGATGTGATCCAGCTCTCTCCCCTTGATTGTGCCTGTCCACTTGAAAGCATTTCTCATTCTGCTGTTCTTACTAGCAGCAGCCTGGGGATCCTCCCAGAGACCACCTTTATCTCCTGAGACTTGGCCACTCATTAGATCACCTGCCTCTCGCAGAACTGCCCAACCTCGCCTCCCCTGCAGCTGCTCCCCATTCTCCGTATTGTGGGTGTCCCTTCTCCACTTGCTGTTCAGGGGGATAAGCTCCCCCAGCCGTCCTCGTGGGTGAAGCTAGACCCACTGGTCTGCACGGCGGCCTGCTAATTGTGGGGTCAGAGCTCACTAGAGGACAGTAGAGGCATACATATTTAAAATTTTAAAAAGTTCCCGTGACTACAGTGTACACGTGTTGTATCATTTAATCTGTTCATGAGCCCTGAATAGACAGATAAAACTCACACACACATCCCAAGGACGTGTCTCCCCTAGTACATCCTCCCTAGAAAGTTCTTGCAGCCCAGAAAGTCAGGGCTTGTGTGACTGTCTATTCAGAGGTATGATGGGGAGTTCCCTAAAGCCTTCCCAATGAGCTTGCCCAGGAATTCTTTTCTCCCAACCCACTTCAATGAAATAATCTGGGAGATCAGAGACCTGCTGTCCTGGGAGCTGGGATGGTCAGACCCCCCCCCCTTCCCCCAAGGCCCCTCCCTGTCCTCTCCATTTGAAGGCTGGTTCCTTATGCCATCTTATGTCTCTCCTGCCCTTGTCCTCTGTTTCCTGCTTGCCCGGTTGCAGATGCAGTACTTGGACTCCATGAATGGTGAGGATCTGCTTCTGACAGGGGAGGTGAGCTGGCGCCCTCTTGTGGAGAAGAATCCTCAGAGCATCCTGAAGCCTCATTCCCCAACTTACAACGATGAGGGTCTTTGATGGGCTGGTGCCTCTGAACAGCTGGCCTGCTGGCTTTGAGGAACTGCCAGGAGAGAGGTGCTTGTTTGGCCCGGAACCCTGCAGAAAGTGGCCTGAACTGACCTTTGAACAGCATCTGTCCAATACCTGGCCCCATTTGTGTTGATTATCCTCTTAGTATGCCCAGGAGTCTGATCTGGTGGGGTACAGTGCTGGGAGAACCCTTAGCTCTTCTGAGGTATCCTCCCCCCCCAGGAGAAGCCTGGAGCAGGAGCTCCCCAGCACACACTCCCCTGGTCCCCTCCAGTAACTGATTGACAGCTTTTCCCAAAGGCAGCAGAGGGATGGGGATAGGTTAGCAAGGGGACACTTCCACCAAGGGCCCACCGTGGCCAAGGGGCAGTTTGGAATGCTGCTGAGTCAAGACGGGTAACCACGCTCTGTCCTCCGGCTTTGAGCCATGGAGTTGAGTTGGCCATTAAAAGAAACAGAGACTTATCTCTGCCATGGATTGTCTTTATTCCAGGGTTTTTAGAAACTTACCTGAGATGGCAGTTGCCATAAGCTGAGGGCCATCACCCAGCTCAGTTAGAGGCAGGGAAGGCGAGAGGGTCAGGAGGGTCTCTGCTGCTCCTTTTGTCTCTAGTTCATGGAGATGTCACTGTTCTGGCCAAGGCCTAGCCTGCCAGGCTCCATCGTCTGGGACCCAGAAGGGCTCTGATGGCCAAGGGGCTTGTCACATCCTGAGTCGTTTGGAAAGAAGCCCCAAGAACATATGTCCCTTTGTCACGAGGGGAGGAACATGCTGTCTTTCCTCTGTTGACTCCCTTTATGTGAGATACTGGGGAGAAGAGGAGAAAATTCTTTCTGGCTTCATTGTGCCATCCCAGGGCCCAGCCCCGTGCCCAGCTTTCTAGCCCCGTCCCAACTTCTGGAGCATGTGCTGCACAGCCAGCTCGGTCTGTGCACTTGAGGATCAGTCCCCTCCTTCCTGAGTGTGGGTCATCTCTTGGGGGATTTTCTTTACATGGAAGAAAGGGGGCGGGGAACCATAGTGCCCCTCCTTCCCCCATCAAACTTCCTTCATTTAACTTGCTATAAAATGAGTCATATAAAGAAATTCTATATGGGTGAGGTATATCCCACTTCTGTGAAAACATTACAAATCAGACCGCCTTCTCAGAGTTTATTTAAGATGCTTTTGTTGCAAGCGGAGTTCTAGAGTGAAGCCCCCTCTGTGTGTGTGAGATAGTAACACCTTGTAACTCATTACAGCTGGGCACTATTTACATAAACCAGAGCTGAGCCAGGCAGGAATTTGCTGATTAATTTATTTTTAATGGAGTGAAGTATACCATGCACCAAAATAAACTTTACTGTGTGTACCTAACTGCTCCTGGAATGGATGGAAAAATTAATGGAACAGATTTTGGCTCCCAACTCCACACACTAATTCATATATAAAAGTTATTTGAGCCTTAACCCATTTGCTGCCCAGGGCAGCTCCCCAGCCACAGACCCCAGCCCACAGCACCAGTCCAGCTACTGGGCTTGCTTGAGAATCATGGAACTGCAGATTTAGAAGAAACTTCAGAGGTCACTTAATCCAGTCTGGGTCCAGAACTTGACTCCCCTTCTCGCATCCCAGTTGGCCCCTGTCCATACAAGCCGTTTATGAATACCTCCGCCTGCAGAGCCAAGTCGTGTCTCCATAAGCTGAGTAACTGTCAAACAGGGCAACTTGTAACACGGAGCTGCGTTTTAAAGAACCGAATTGGATCTATCAGGTCGGGGATGTCCCGAAGCCCTCACTTCCAGACTCTTGGCATCTTTCACCCACTACACACCTCCTTCCCCTTCAAGATAAAATCCAGGCTCCTGGAGGCTGCAAGGCCCTTCGTAATTTGACCTGTGCTTGTTTCTGAGTCTCGAATTCATTTCTTCTCTGAACAAACTGAACCGCTTGGGTGTTCTGAAGAGATCATCCTGTATGTTTCCTCTACCTGGTATTCTTGCATCCCCTTTTGACTAGAGAAATCCCATGTGTGCTCACATACCCACCCCCCGTCCAGCCTTGTCTGCCCCAGATGCAAACTATGGCTGACATACCCACCCTCCATCCTGCACTGTGAGCTCCTTCAGAGTGGGCACTGTGTTTGGGTCAATCACCTTTGTTTCTCTAGTGCCCCCGGAGTGCCTGGCTCACAGTAGGCATCAGTATAAGCTTGGACAAATGAAAGAAGGAATGCATTAGATCATCAGTCATTATCAGTACGAGCCCAACAAAAAAGTCCCTTTCTGGATCATTCTCTGACCTACAGTTCAGCTTATTTTAACTATTCAGTACAGAGTACCTCCACTGGCCTTTGCGTAGGAACGGAAAGCTAAATGTTCGTTCTGTAGCTACATGTTTTTCTTTCTCTTTTTTTAAGTAATCTCTACACCAACGTGGGGCTCAAACTCAAAACCTCCAGACCAAGAGTTGCATGCTCCACTGATTGGGCCAGCCAGGTGTCCCTGTAGCTACACATATTTCTACTGTAAATTGTTACTACACAAAACAAGTGAGGGACATTTCTTGCCTTCAGGGAGATTGCTCTTTAGAAATAATTTTGTTATTTATTTATACTTCCAGAAAGGATTACAGCAAATTAAAAGACACGCTTATAGTAAAACTGCAAAATGATTAGAACAAAGTTTAAAAGATAAGATGCAAGTATTGGGAGGTGAGAAAGGGAAATAATCACATGAGAAAACCTGTACTGCTAATAACCAATTTTCATGGGAATTTTTTGGTAATTTATAAAGTAGTTTTAACACATTGTCTCAATGGTCCTGTGAAATAGGTATCCTCATCGTTCTTCCCCCCCCTTTCCACAGGTGAGGGGACTAAGGCTCAGGTTATCCAGCCACAGGAAGAAGGGGCCCAGTGTGCCCCAGTCCTCATCTTCCAACCCCAGGGCCCTTGCTCTCTCCCCATCCCACACTGCCCCCGACAGGTCAGTGAGGAAATCTGCAACTGAGTATAAAACCTTGCCCCGAGCTTCCTGGGAGCCAAAGGCAGAAATGGGAGTCAAGGTTCTAAGAGTTCCCATTGTCACATAAAAGGAAGTATACTTATTTGTCAGAAGAAATGTTTCAGAGAAGAATGTATTATAGGGAATTTAAATGAGAAACACCAAACAATGCAGTGAATATTACCTCTAAGATTTCAGTTTTGCCTGTAAGTTTGAGAACCATAAATAATTGCTGTTTCTTACATCAAGCTGAGATTAAAGCCAAGGCCCCAGTTCAGCCAGTATTTTTTGCATTTCTGTTCTGTGTCAGACACTGCTTGGTATTTTCACTTGTTTTCTATTTTAATCTTCAGTGACAAATCTGTGCGGTAAGTTTTATTAAGCTCCTGTTACCATTGAGGGAAACTACATGAAGTTCAGGGGGGCCCAAATTGACTCTGCATGCAGAACTCAGGTGGTTCTGAGACCCAAGTCCAATGCGTTTAGTTTCAGAGAAGGAGGACTGGATGGGGAAAGGGACCGATGTGCTACAGTTAAAAAGTAAAAGGAAGCCTTCAGTGATATTCCAGCCACTTGGGCTTGTGTGGACACATTCTCATACTAACAGGAAAAATCAGAACAAGGGAGTTAGACCTCAGAAAAGCCCTGAAGGGAGTCGAGACATAAAGGATGGGCAAGGTTTTAGGTAGGTGGCAAGAAAAAGGAAATGGGAAGCTGCCTAGGGGAAGGCACGGAATAGGAAGCTTCTTCAGACTCCAGTGGTCCAGCTGAGTGGTTGGCTAAGGGCAGAAAAGGTTGCAGAGAGCCGGGTGGGGCCACGAGTGGGGGTAGCCTGGGTAACGCTGCACCTGGCAGGCATTCTGAGTAAGGACTGTGACCTGCTGGGAGTGAAGATGTACAGCGGTGTGCAAGGTAGATCGGCTCAGTCAGGAACCAGCCATCTAGGCTTGGGGGCCTGGGGGGTGATTGTAGGAATTCAGAGGGAAGCTCAAACCGCAGAGACTTGATAACTCCCTACACATGGAGCCTGAAGAAAGCCGTCTAGAGCTCTCCTGGGAACCAGGAGATGGCGATGTCAGGCAGAAGAGGGAAGCTCGAAAAGAAGAATTCTCTGTACTGTGTTTTTTTCCAAGTGCCAATTACATTTTCCTATGGGATAGGCAGGGCAGGGATTATTGCCCCCACCATGCAATAGGGGAACAGGTCCACTAAGAAGAATCCACAACTGGTGCAAGGTGACCCTGTAGCAAAGCTGAACAGTCTCCTGTCTTTTGAGACCTACTCCATTGCTTTTGGTTTATGTTGTTTGTATCTGTATGGGAGCCAGTCTGTGGAAGGTGCCCTGGAGAGGGCAAGAGAGGGGCTGGACTTCAGGGGATGATTAGGATGGGGGGGCTAAGGACTTTGGCCTTATCTTGCATTTAGAAGGGGCACTTGAAATCATGAAAATGGATGAGCTCCCAGAGGTGAAATGTAGAGGGCTGACCAGGGACTGGGGTGGGTGTGGGAGAAGACATTCCGGGTTGGGGTGGAGCGGGGCGGCAAGGTGGAACGGGTGGGGAGGAGTAGGAAGAGCAGGAACCGGCATAGGAAGTAGAGGCTGGAGTAGAAGTCGGGGGAGAGGAAGCTTCCAGAAGGAGGAGGTTCTTTTTTTTTTTTTTTTAGATTTTATTTATTTGAGAGAGAGAGAATGAGAGACCGCACGAGAGGGAGGAGGGTCAGAGGGAGAAGCAGAGCAGACTCCCTGCCGAGCAGGGAGCCCGATGCGGGACTCGATCCAGGGACTCGATCCAGGGACTCCAGGATCATGACCTGAGCCGAAGGCAGTCGCTTAACCAACTGAGCCACCCAGGCGCCCCAGAAGGAGGAGGTTCTTAATGCTGCATGCTGCAGAGTTGGGGCCAGGGAGTAAGTGAATGAGGCTTAAGGGCTTCAGACTATTCCAGGAACAAGATTTTTGAGAGAATGCAGAAATTGCAAAGGGTTAAGAAGGTAGAGTATGGCAGCAGCTGTGGTATCTTGGTAGGTGCCTAGCTGAAGAGAAATGGAGAAAAATTGGGCAGGAGTTAGGAGAGTAGGGTAAGAACTAAGGTGTTTGCAGCACAGAAGAAAGCTGAAGATGTGCATGGGGGTGAGGAGGAGCCAGATTAAATGTAAAGCACTCATTCAGTGGAGTAGGAGACTTCCCGTCAATGTTAGGAATTACTAGATCCCTCTTGAAGTGGGAGCCTGGTCTTGAGAACAAGGGCCTGGCTTTGGAGGGGAGGAGGGAACCTCTTCCTGAGACCAGAGATTGGACCAGATGGGGACATGGGATTTCTGAGGTGAGGGCTGAGAGGGGAGAGGCCAGCCCATGCTGGTCTCAATGCCCAGGGAACCTAGAATTATCGGCCGTTGGGGTGAAGGGGAAAGGAAGGGGGATCTGGCAGGTCTGTGGGCAGAGAATGAGACAGTCCCGAAGTGTTTGAACTTTTCCCTTGGGAGCAGTCCTCCTGTACATGTTGCCCTGGTTCTGCCCACTTCTAGCCTTCCCACAGCATCCCCACTATGCCTTGCCCACCCCCACCACTGGGTTTGGCCTTAGGGAGGGCTAAGCCAGACCCCAGACCCCTGGCCATGATCCTCTGCCCACTCACCCCTGCCCCAGTGTTAACCACCCATCACAAATCATCTGTGGCTTCCAGGAGACTTCCCTTGAGCCATGCTGGTGAGCCCAGGACCTGACATTATAGGTCAGTACTTGAAGACGCCTTGCTGAGAGGAGAAAAGGTCCTAGAGATCCTACATGGAGGATTCGCAGGAAGGGAGTCTTCAAGTACTGTCCTGTAATGTCAAAAAGTGATGGGGAAAAAAAAGGTGATGGAATATATGAGTGCTAGAAGAGACTCGGAGACCTCCAGCCCAGCGTTTACATTACACATGGGAGGTTATGGTCCTGAGAGGCTCACTCAAGGTTTCACAGGTGTGAACCAGAGCCATAGGCCTGTGCTGGCTTGTTTCTTCCCTAATTTTATCTCTCCCTGTGGCCAGAAATGGCTCCTTCACCGCCCAGTCACCATCTGAGAAAAAGCCTGCTGCAGGGCTGTACCCTAGTTGGGGATGGGAAGGTGGAGACATGGTTCCTTTAAAGTTCCAGAATGGCTCATGAGCGCTAAGCCTCAAAACACTTGGTTTATACCTTGGCTTAACCTGTGGCTTATAATTATTTATGAATCTGCCCTCCCCACTAAACTGTGAGTTCCTCCAGGGCAGAGACCAAGTCTTACTCATCTTTGGGACCACGGTGCTGGCCTAAAGGAGGCATTAAATACATGTTGGATGAACTGGATGGACAGAGGGAGAGGAAAGGTTGGGATAGGATGGGGAGGGTGAG